CTGGATCAGAGATTCGGACTTTAGGCTTGCATTCTTTGGGACATCTTTTGAACAATAGCTTCAATTCTTTCCAGTCTATCATTGGATTGTGTTTGTTTAACCATTCATGTCCCAAGAACATTCTCCTGCTGCCAAGATTGGTCACTGCAAAATGGATCTTTTGATATGGTTATCAATTTCCATGAGTAGTACTACGAACTCGCTAATGGCTCTGTTTTTATTTAGAGTACCATCTGCGTTGTAGACTGGAATTGGTCTGGGTATCCTTCTAGTCCCGTAATTTTGGTCTTTTGCAAATTGAGAGTTGATGCAACTCCCCGTGCATCCACTATCCAATAGTGCTTCAACCGTTTTTGTCTTTAGAGTGTCTAATGTAGTAAGCTTACACATCATGTTCATTTGATTGCCTTGGGTACCCCTGATGTACTTTTTTGTGGAGGCAATTTCTATGATTGCTATCGATGATGAGAACTGTTGTTAGAAAAACCATACACAAAACAAACTAACACACAATCCTCCCAGATTCCACGGAACTTGTTTATGGGCTTTGCCTCCTAGAACAGTGGAGTGGTCTGGTTGTCCGTGGGGTGGTACGTATAACATTCCTTCAAAGTAAAACCCAGTGATGTATGGGTGTGGGTTTTGAGGAGGAGGGATAGTTGGAATATAGAAAGATAGGGGCTTTGTGGCGAGTATAGACGAGCACTACCTTGCTAATTGTAGTACAAGGTAGGTTTGAGAATGACAATGTGATGAGGTGACAAAGTTCCCAGTGATAGCAGGCTCCTGACGCACAGACTGTAGTGCTCAGAAGGACTCTAATTGAAAGGGATAACAATTACTTTTGAAAAGTGACGAGTGATGATGACAGCAGTTAACAGTGGTAGCAGTGGGAAGCGTTGTGACCACACTGGATCACAAGTAGTAGTGAGTAGTGAACTTGAGATTAGAGAAGAAGTCTGTATTCGAGTTCTTGTTTTTCTTGTTTTTTTTTTTTTACAAGGTAAAATACAGGGGTTTATATAGTGAAAGAAAAGTAGGCTATGCACAGTATAGCTGTGCAAAAAGAATGAGAAAGAACATGAAGGAAGGAATGTACGCTGACAAATCCTGCATAGGTAGTACAGAATAAGATTGTCAAAAAAAGGAAAAGAAAGGGATAGAACAATAAATGCTGTGAGTAATGTCACAGGTTTGTACAGTCATAAAGTAAAGTCTAATAGCAAAAAGAGAGCAGGAAAATCATGATGTCATGGGAAGATACAGTAAAAAAAAGGCGGGGCAAAACACTATCAGTATCAACACAGTTCCTTTATTGTCAGTCAGGCATTCTAAAAAATATGTGTCCATAAAAATGATTCAAAAATCAAAAATAATCGCACTGTAAATGAATGTTCTGCTGAAAAAAAAGGAACTGGAGCCACCGGTCCACGACCTAGTCTAAATCCGACAGTTCCATGGCCTTACCAATGGACTGGTTGTGTTGGACCACCTGGTCAAACAAGGGAGGGAGGGGAGTAGTTCCAATTTGGAACAAGTGAGTCCCAGGCAGCGTGTGGTAGGTGTAGCTGTAGCAAAGACGATGGACAAAAGATAAGTGTACCCAAGTGAATGGGACAGCAATGAACATGGGCGACGCAAGGGGATGAACCTTCTCCAGCTCAAAAACTCTCCAACCAGGCAAGACGAGCGACTGATGTTTTGATAGTATATGATGGTAGATTGACGTCATAAAGATGAACCTGTTGCCCTATTTGAACCGGCCGCTGGGGCTTTGCTGATATCAGCAGTGGCACGTGGTAGTTGATGGATCAGCGACGGAAGTGGATAGGAAGTGGTGACATCAGAAATGGTGGGGGAGCAAAGAAGATGAGGAGGAGGAGGCTGGAGGTGACGAGGAGGTGAACTAAAATGGGGATCCAGAAGCGACCGTCAGGTGAGAATAAAAACGAGAGTAAGGGACCCATGGTGGGGCTAGGCAAAGGAAGGGAAGTGAAGGAAACGACAAAAGCGAGGGCGCAATGCAATGTGTAGCCAGTGGTGATGCAAAAATTTGCCGAAATGCCGAAATGCGGAAAGTACCAAATGGAAAAGCAAAGGTGAGCGTGACTGGATTGCCTAATAGAGGTGGTGCTGATCAGCCACAAGTTCGAAAAAGGCAATATTAATTACTATTCCATGTGGCACTGTGCCTGTGTGGCGCAAAGGCGAGTCTTTTTGAATATTCGCTTCATTATTGACACCTGTCCATGCTACCAATCAACTTTGGTGCATGACATCGCTTGTACAGCTTCTACTTTTGGTAACTGGTTGATTTCTTTTATCATCTCCCGGTGTCATACATGAAAAATGTTTCATGTATGGACATGGCATTCCACGACATATTGTACCCCGCAAAAAGTACCTCATCTTAAAGCACACATTCCAAAGTACTATGTCACAAAGTTTTATATTTTGATGACCACTAGTTCTGGAGATATGAGCCAAACAAGAATGCTTGTATCATGCTTACTGTCAGCCACTGGCAGCCACACTGAAATCTGACCACATGGCTTGCACATGGTCAGTTTCTGAAAGGGAAAGTGAATTTCCCACGACATAATCTGCCTTTTCCTCAACAACCACTTCACCAATCACTCCGGTTTTTAGGGAGTAGGTAATACTTTCACACCCCTATCAGTCTGGATACTTTTGGAGGGCTTCCAAATAAGGAAATTCTCCAAAATTCTTGTTTTACTGTGGAGAAAGCTGAAGTGGCATTTGTTTCTTATAAATAGAACACTGTGCCTGACTGAGTCATATTTTGCTCCACATTTTCAAATTATTTTTCTATTCTTAGTCTCAAAAAGACCACTCTAGAATAATCTAGATTCCCAATAGATGATTCTGGCCTTTTGAATTTCTATTAGATATTTTGGTACTACCATTTGTAATTACCAACTAGGAAGGAGCCCCTATAGCCAAAAGGTATATGAGGAAGCCAACTTTCCACTTAATAAAAAAAAAAGCTTTTACTTACAAGCAGTCCCTGTAACAACCAAGAGTTAGCTACTCTGGCGCACACAGGAACACACTATAAAGAGAATGAAGAGGGAGTGGTTACCCCTTAGGATGCAGAGAGTTAGTTGGTATACAACAGGAGGACTCGCTGAGGAGTCTCCTGGATCTATTGGGGTTTATATACTACTACAGGGTTGTTTGTACATGTGTACTATACAGTTGATAGATACAGTGGCTGATGATGTCATGGGGCCTAGCCCGTATGACCAGCTCCACTGTGTGAGAGAGTTGTCTCCAAAATAAGAAGAAAGGCAACACGGCGTGAGAAAGGGGAAGTGCCACGTGGCATCATGTGTGAAAGCTATAGTACAAGGTTAAAGCGGAGAAATAAAAGTAAAGGGAAGGTCCGAAAATTGTGTTATTGTAACAGTCCCCACATAAGTGGACAACCACTCAGAAGTCAACTAGCTTTAGCCTAGGAAGCATACAAAAGGTATTGCCCATCCTAGGAAGCTTAGTCATCAAGCCACGTCTGTCACAAACAACAGTAGTCCAAGTGTGATTACAGTTTGTGATTGTTTATTATTTGCCACAAGTAGCTCTAGTATTCTATAGTCCATCTCAAACTTATATCAGTCATCTATTGATCTGGTGTAAGCTCATCTGCAGTCAGTCACTGAAGCATATTCAAGTATTGCTTCACCCTTCTATCGACCATCAGTGCATCATAGTTTATCCCTTATCAAGTGTAGGACACTATTATCTTTATCCTATTAGTCTCTCAACAAGTGAGGACTATCATTGACACACCTAGTGTTGGCTATATCTTGAAGCTAGTCACATAACGCTTCAAACTCACACGTACCCTCACACTTCTATTAACATACTACCACTTGTCCAGCTTAGGTTGTAAACTTCCGGTAACCCTAGGATAAAGAAGCTTTGGTAGCTATCCCATACCAAACACTTTATCAACAAGACACCGGGTCACCTCTTTAGCTCTCTTTTTGTGTGTCCAGGTACTTAGAATCCCAATAAATCTTTCTTTGCTTTGGTCTCTAAGCCTGTCTACTACCCACTCTGGGGTCCAAACTTCTTTTTTTTCTAGGTTTTGTTTTGGAGGGGTTCCTGACCTCCCTTCTACAGTCCCTGCCGTGTCTGTCTCTGTAGAGCTCGCTGCATCGGGTGTAGGTTCCTTTGTATCCGCCGCTAGAGCTGCACTTTCCAGTGATTTGCCTGCCGTTTGCACTGTGGTTGTCTTGTCACTGTACACCGTCTCTGCTGCAGTTGTACTTTTTTTTGCATCTTTTCTTTTATTTCTTATTTCTTTCTTTGTGTGTGTGTTAATAATTTTATTTTCTGTGCTGTCTGGTAAATTACATGGTTCCACACTTAGAGAAGAAAATCAATTCAAAACATTGTTTTTGGGCGCAGTCGGTTGATGCGGTACTGCTGGCCTCTTTAAAAACCCGCAAGGAGTTTTTCTCTCTCTGACGTTGAATTGAGGCTTTATTTGTGCGTCTTTGCACTCAAAGCTTTGATGTCCCTTTTCTCCGCATCTGTAGCATTGTCCCTCTGATCGGAACTTTGCCTTATCTACCTCCATTTTTTCACTGCTACCAGTGTAAGTGTAGCCAGTTCCGTCTTTCTTTTTCTCCGTTTTTGGTTCTGAGTTTTTCTCGGGTTGTCTCTTTCTGAATTTGGATCCCTTCTTTTCTTTCTCATGCTTTTCTCCAGATGTAATCTATCCGGATTAGCTCTCGCTTCCACTCTTGATAATTTCTTGGAATGTGCCCTCCATAGATTACCCAATCTACTAAGGGTTTGTTCATGTTCCGTCTCAATAATGAAACTAAGAACTCTTCATTTATTCTGTTGTTGTATCCCACCCACCTCTTTTTTTCTTCAAATCTTTTGAAGAAAGCCTGTGCGGTTTCATTGCCCTGTCTTAGGGTTAATATCTTGTTTTTCACACTTTCTTTTTCAGAGCTATCTTCAAATCATTCTTCCATTTTGTTGGCAAAGAACGGCCAACTTCTGTATGTGTCTTTAATGTCAAGCTCCAGCTGTTGGGCATCAACCCTATTTTCGAGCCAATCGGCCCTGAAGGCTGCGACTTCTCCTTCTTTCATAAAAGAAAGCACAAAGCTTATATTTTTTCTATCATCCCTAAAGTAGGCGATGTCATCTTCAAAATGTAAAAGTAGGGACTCTCTGAAAGCCCAGTACTTCTTCTTGTCTCCAGAGAAGTTTTCTGGCTTCTCTAGAGCTGTTCTAGTTCTTTCTACCCTTTCTGGGGGTGTTGTTATTCTTGTCTTTTTTAGCCTTTTCTCTAAGACGCTGACTTCTTCTAGCGCCTTGTCAAGTTGGGACTGATATAGGAGACGGGTCTCTTGGACTGCTTTCTTGACTTCTTGTTTTATGTATGCCTCCATGGAGACTTTTTTGGGTGGGGGAGTTTCTATTCTGGGTAATGAGTCCATCATTTCCCGCGTGAATTCATTGTCCGTGCTGCTGGATTGCTCTGGCTGATCTCAGTATCCTAAACCAGACATTTTCAAATTGTAATTGTTGTGGTGGGGGAGTTTCTTATTTGATCACGGGGGAGAGACTTCTGATTGGTGTGATGGTGGGGAGTGGGAATTGTTTTCTGAAAACGTAGTCTCTGGTGTAAATGTTTTGTTTGCTGATCCAAATGTAAAATTCTCTACTGAGCATAGAAGGAGTTCACCAGTGATAAGCTGGATCGGTACACCACTTCTAAGATCTCTAGTAGTCTATCTGTTTCTTTTTTAGTCAAGGTGACCCTCTTCTGTTCACCATTGACTATGTATATACGTGCTATTTTTTGTATTTACAACATTTTATGTAAAAGTTATAGTGATAAAACTAGGTCCAAATGTTTGTCTAGTTGTAACCGGCTTATTAAGCTCTCAGTTCTTCTCCCGACTGGCGGACGCAAATGCGTGGCCTGGTCAGAGGAAAGAGAAGGTTGAAACTATGTAAAAATGAGAAAATTCCAGTGGTTCCACACCAAAGGAATTATGATGATATAATGGTAACTAAAGGGGAATGGTTTAGAAGGAGTCTTGGGAGGTTGTTGGTGAGACGTTGGCAGGGAAGAATGATGTGATGGTATTGGGACATGTAGGGATATGGGTGAGGGGGATGATAGGTTGGTTTGTTCGGGGACGATAGAAGATGTTGAGTGTGATGAATATGATGATGAGTGTGATGGTTATTGGGATAGTTGCTGTTACGTTCATAGACGGTACTAGTGCAGTTGTTGATTGTATTAGATCCCTACACCTTATGCCGAACAAATGGAGGTGTGAGGCTCAAATCAAACAAGTAGCGTCAAGTATCAATGTATAGGAAGTAATCAACAACTGAAGAATGTATGTACATGAGTAGCATATATATATTTCTGAAAATCAGCCATGAGGCGCTGACTGATGTACTACGTCATAGTCTAGACTTTGGTCAGGTGACAGTAAGGTCACATGATGAATATAATTAACTACTTTGCTTGCATAATGGGTCATGTGATAGTATGATCACGTAACCCATTATGATAAGATGTTTCAAGATTAGATAAGTTTTGATTCAAATCGTGACAATAAGGGTGATAATGATTGGGATAGCTGCTAATATGCTCATAGATGGTATCATTGCAAGTTGTTGATTATGTCAAGACCTTGCTTTACGCTGGAAAAACCCAAAAGCAAGACAAGTCAAGGAATCAAATAATAGTGTCAATAGCAATATATAAAAGGTAATCAACAGCTAGAGAATGTATGTACATGAACTAGCTGTATATATAGTGTCTGAAGTATCTGCCATGAGGCGCTGACTGATGTTCTATGTCATAGTCCAGTTTGTGCGTCAGGAGCCTGCTATCACTGGGAACCTCGTCACCTCATCATTTCATCGTTCTCAAAACTGCCTTGTGCTACAATTAGCAAGGTAGTGCCCATCTATACTCGTCATAAAAGCCCCTATTTTCTATAGTTCAACTATCCCTCCTCCTCAAAACTCACACCCATACATCTCTGGGTTTTACATTCGAAGGATCATCATACATACCACCCCACGAACAACCAGACCACTACACTGTTCTAGGAGGCAAAGCCCATACACAAGTTCTGTGGAATCTGGGAGGATTGTATGTTAGTTTGTTTTTGTGTGTGGTTTTCTAACGACAGTTCTCATCATCAACATCGGCTAGTTGTTAGGCTGTAGTGCCATAAGCGTGGATCTGATACATAACATCTGGGATTGACGTGTCTTTGACATTCAAAAAGTCAAACTGTAGAATTCTATCCCCCTCTTTAAGGTTGACCTCAGGGCAATATGTCTCTAGATCTTCTTCTGGTTCTAAGAATTGTATCATCATGTTGCAATTGCTCAGACGTCTGTTGAATTCTAATTTTAACACGTTCCAGTCAATTGTGGGATTATGCTTCTTTAACCATTCATAGCCTAAGAACATCCAGCCAGTTCCAAGATTGGTAACGGCTAGCTGGAGTCTTCCAGCGTGGTCATTTATCTCCACTAATAGTTCTATAAATTCTTTAATGCTTGTGTACTGATTAAGGATGCCGTTGGCATTGTATACTGGTATGGGTCTAGGGATTTTTTGCCTTTCATATCCCTGTTCTTCAACAAATTTAGAGCCTATGCAACTTCCTGTGCAGCCGCTGTCTAATAACGCATCTATCATTGTTGATTTGTGTGTTCCGAGGTTTGTGAGTCTACAGATAACATTCATTTGGTTTCCTTGCTTTGTGCTCAACATCGGATCTGTCTTGCTCTGGAAATGGGGAAAGCACTGCTCACTCTTCAAACCAAACATCCACCATAAGTTGTCTTCAGACTTGTCACAAAATTCTTCTACACCTTCCTTCCACTCAAGCTGGGGCATGAATTCAAAGTCAATGCTTGGCAAATCTTTATGCTGTGGCTCTGGAGACAAATGAAGTTGGTCATAAATGGTGCACTTTAAAGTGCTAACCTGATCCATAGTAGCTAACTTTTCTAGAGCATCACCTTTGGTATACCTGAAAATATGAATAATAAATAAATGCAAACGCACAAATTTTTCTAATGATCCCAAACTCACGCATTTTGTTGCTTTTGCCTGAATGAATGATCCAAGCCCATTGCACCAAGCATATCAACTAAGTGTTGATGTTGTTCCTCTACTTCCTTTACCAAGACTTTGTTAGCATATCTCTCAAGAAGAGTGAGTAGCTTGTCATAATTGGACAAATAACACCGGATGTGAGCCACAAATGGGTCTTTGGTTTGAGCCAATTCTAAGGCACAAATATGGATATTGTTCACTGTTAAGGTCTTTCCTATATTGGTTCCATGTACAAGCTATTACACTATTGAGGAAGTCCTGCACATTATCCTTGAACCCATTGACACCAAACATCCCGTACATAAGGCTTGCATAAGTATTGCTTACTTCATCAGGAAAAACACTTTGGCTATATAGCAGAGGCAATACTATTTATGCTATTGTAGCTCTAATATTGCTATATAGCAAAGGAAATATTGTTTATGCTATTACAGCTCTAATAGTACTAATGTAGCAGAGGAAATACTAATATAGCTCTAATAGTATTATATAGCAGAGGTATTACTATAAATGCTACTATAGCTCTTATAGTACTATAAGTTTGAGCACACATAGCACCAGTATAATGTTATATAGCTAGCCAAGGCATTATAATGGCTCTTATAGTTCTAATAGCCTATATAGCTGTTAAGACATGGTATATTTTCATAGCAATGCTTTATAAGTTGTGATAATATGTAAAAAAAATAACAAGTCCATGGAAGGTCAATATATTTCACATGTATAGTATATTTTGTAAGTCTTTATGGTGTAGTGGATAAATGTGTGGTATGCGGCTGTAGATTAATTGGTCAGCAAAAAAGCGGACCAGCAGGTTGAGAGTTCAGACCTTGTGTGTGTGATTATTCTTTTAAATCAACCACAAGCTCTCTCATAGCTCATATAGTCAGCTATATGCTTTAAGTGCTATAAAAGGCTATAGCCAACTATAAAAGTACTATAAGAGCATATTGTTCCTGAATAGATGTTGGGGTTTCTGTTGCAACTATGGTCACTTGATAAATAGACAGTAACACTTTATGAGACATCAGATTGTGATACTTTCTTGCACTTTGGGCCAGCCACTTGATTTGATTCAGCAAAGTGGTGCATGGTGGTGTTTCTTTATGTTAGGGTGTCAAAATGCATGCTGAACAATGGGGTATAGTTAATACACTTGGAATGTGCAAGCCTGGTAACACGGAGGTTTTTGGATATGTAAGTAGTTTCTGATAAGCCCATTTATGAACAGGTTTGAGACATATTCTGATAAAGAGGTTCTGAATGATGAATACCAAGTTACACTGTTGAAGCATACAATTGTATTGGAAATGGTAACTACAATACAGGCATATATATATACTTGTCTACTTTAGGGTAAGCATTTGTGTTTAACAAACAATGACAGGTGAAACCATAATAGGTAACAATATGTGGGAAAGTAAAGGTAAGTAGCAGTGTATAGCTACTTTAGAAAGGAAATAAAGTCCATAGAGAACATAGTTCGTAATATTACCCACTTTTTAGGTTCAGACTGCTCCGAAGTCTCCTAGTTCTCCATCTATGTCGTACCCTGCGTCTTTGTTGAGGTTATTATGCTCGTTGTTTAATCCCCAGCTATCTGCTACAAAGGGTAAGTTGTGTTGCCAGTTGCATTCATTAGCTCAGTGTCTGGGTGCATCTAGACTGCATACAGAACAAGTATGGTAACAACAGTAAATGGCGCAATGACCATATTCTTGACAGGCATGGCGGCATCAAATACAAGGGCGACATCGCCATTTGGAAGAGGATGAGTGAGTAGAATTGGAGTAATCAGAAATTGGTGAGGGCCTCTTGCTCCCACAGTGAGGGGATTGGGCAGCGCCTTCATTGGTCCTCAACGACCTTCCATCCGGAGATGAGTCATTGTTTGACGTGGGAGTCAAGCTACAACTTGCTTGCTGGGCACAGGGTGTGCAACCTGAAGGGATAAGGAGTACCGACTCTGGGCGCTGGCAGCATAGTTGGTGGTTGCAATGGGGTGGAGGGTGTTGGAGGAGGGGCATTGTTAGTCGTGTAGGAATTGATATGCCCTGCGATTCTTCTACTACATTGGCTACGGGGACTATTGAGTCAGTTATGGAGGAATGTGCTGGGGATGGAGGAGCGGGCCCAGGTAGAATGAGATCTGGCAACAATGGGCAAGATGCTGGTTGAGACTGCTGCGGTGAACGTGGGTGGTGTCGCCCTGGAAATGGATGTCCCGTTGTCAATGATGAGAACTGTTGTTAGAAAACCACACACAAAACAAACTAACACACAATCCTCCCAGATTCCACAGAACTTCTTTATGGGCTTTGCCTCCTAGAACAGTGGGTGTTCTGGTTGTTCGTGGGGTGGTATGTATGACAATCCTTCAAAGTAAAACCCAGAGATGTATGAGTGTGGGTTTTGAGGAGGAGGGATAGTTGAACTATAGAAGATAGGGGCTTTATAATGAGTATAGACGAGCACTACCTTGCTAATTATAGCACAAGGTAGGTTTGAGAACAACAATATGACAAGGTAACGAGGTTCCCAGTGATAGCAGGCTCCTGACGCACAGACTATAGTGCTCAGAAGGAATCTAATCAAAAGGGATGACAATGACTTTCAAAAGTGACGAGTGACGATGACAGCAGATAACAGTGGTAGCAGTGGGAAGTGTTTTTACATAGGCTCATACCCAGCCAGATCACCAGGTTTAATTTCAGTTACTAGCCGAAATTGTCTTCAAGCACAACCAGTGAATGGCTGGGACCAGTCGTCGCCATTTTGTGAGGAGGACAAATTCCTCACCAAAGATGAGGTGGGGACTTAATTGTAGGGACTCAAAAGCCATAAGAAAATTTCCCCCAAGTTACTATACAAAAAAGCAATTTTGTAACTCGTAGAACACATTGAATATAGGAAATTTTTGCAACTTTTATTACAAGTGAACTTTGCCAGAAAATGGTAGTGACAGCGACAACAACCTCACCTCAAATTTTTCCAGAGAATATCTATTAACAAATAGTGATCTACTGGTTAGAAAAATGCTTTTTTGTATACCACGTTTTTGGCATTTTTTTCTGACTTCTGAGTCCCTACGACGAAGTCCCCACATCATCTTTGGTGAGGAATTCATCCTCCTCACAAAATGGTGACGAGTGGTCCCAGCCTGCTCGCAAGCTCGCAAATTCATATCGGCAAATATGATAAGCGCGAGCTAGCCCAGCAGGTTGGGGACGGGCCTAGTTTTTACAAGGTAAAATACAGGGGTTTATATAGTAAAAGAAAGGTAGGCTATGCACAATATAGCTGTGCAAAAAGAATGAGAAAGAACATGAAGGAAGGAATGTACACTGACAAATCCTGCATAGGTAGTACAGAATAAGATCATCAAAATAAGGAAAAGAAAGGGATAGAACAATAAATGCTGTGTAAGTAATGTCACAGGTTTGTACAGCCATAAAATAAAGTCCAATAACAGAAAGAGAGCAAGAAAATTGTGATGTCATGAGAAGATACAGTAAAAAAGGATAAAGCAAAAAAATATCAGTATCAACACAGTTCCTTTATTGTCAGTCAGGCATTCTAAAAAATATGTGTCCATAAAAATGATTCAAAAATCAAAAATAATCGCACTGTAAATGAATGTTCTGCTGAAAAAAAAGGAACTGGAGCCACCGGTCCACCACCTAGTCCAAATCCAATGTTCCATGGCCTTATCAATGGACTGGTTATATTGGACCACCTGGTCAAACGAGGGAGGGAGGGGAGTAGTTCCAATTTGGAACAAGTGAGTCCCAGGCAGCGTGTGGTAACTGTAGCTGTAGCGAAGACGTTGGATGAAATATAAGTGTACCCAAGTGAATGGGACAGCAATGTACATAGGCAACGCAAGGGGATGAACCTTCTCCAGCTCAAAAACTACCCACCCACGCTCCAACCAGGCGAGACAAGCGACCAATGATTTGATGGTATACGATGGAAGATTGATGTCATGAGAATGGACCTGTTGCCCAATTTGGACTGGCCACTGGGGCTTTGCTGATATCAGCAGTGGCACATGGTGGTCGACGGATTGGCAACGGAAGCAGATGGAGAGTGGTGACATCAGGTATGGTGGGGGAGCAAAGAAGACAAGTAGGAGGAGGGTGGAGGTGACGAGGAAGTGAACTAGAATGGGGATCCAGAAGCGACCATCAGGTGAGAATAAAAAAGAGAGCAAGGTCCCATGATGGGGCTGAGTAAAGAAAAAAAGTAAGGGAGAACAACAAAAGCAAGGGTGCGATGTGTAGCCAGTGGCAACGCAAAAATTTGCTGCAATGCCAAAACACGGAAAGTACTGAATGGAAAAACAAAGGTGAGCACGACTGGATTGCCTAATAGTGGTGGTGCTGATCAGCCACAAGTTCGAAAAAAGCAATATTAATTACTATTCCACATGGCACTGTGCCTGTGTGGCGCAAAGGCGAGTCTTTTTGAAAATTTGCTTCATTTTTGACACCTGTCCATGCTACCAATCAACTTTGGTGCATGACAACGGTAAAAGGCAAAAAAGTCAATTGAAATAGCCATGCAAGGCTGGGAGGGTGCTGCGGGAAATAGGCCGTGATGAACAAACGCCTGTGGAAGAATAGAGCAGCTACAGCTCATGATATTGATGTGGGAAAAACCTGAAAATATATGAGTAAGAACCAAGAAAGAAATAATAGACACATATGGTGAAAAAAAAAGACAAACAAGTGATGTTTGCTTCCAAACACAATCAGGATGTACGCAGAGCAAAATTGTGTCGCAAGTAGTTACCAGAGGTTTTCCGAGAGTCTTCGCAAAGTAATTGAGTTGCAGGGTAATAAGCATTGGAATGAGTGCCTTCCAGCTATTGTACAAACAGTTTGCTGAGATATCAGGAAGTGTTTGATGTATTGCAGGTGCATCTGTAGGTAGTTCCATGCAATCTGGGCCTTCAAATAATTGAGGACTTGCAGTATCATTACAATTCATGGATTCATGAATCTCCCTTATTTCCTGCTTGGTCTCCGGATTAGACTCCATATCTGGTGGCTTCAGATTCATGAGTAACTCTATCTTGTGTAGTAGTCAACACCATTTATTTTTTTGGCCTGAAATTTCAACAAGTGTTTGGGTTTTCCTCTTGTTACGGGGTTTGTGTGAGCTAACAAAATGATAACCAAGTCCTGAGGACGTTGGTTGAGCTCCACGAGTATCTGGGAGGGGGGGCATGGTGAGTGCAGGCGAGAGGAAAATATAATTTACCGTGAGAAGGGGAAACATGACTGCCTTATTATTTTGAGTCAATACATTACCATTACTAGCGACAAGGCTCACAGTTCAAGACATTGGAGACACTTTCGAGAGGTGAGGCGGGAGGCACTGGAGATGAATGAAATCTATTTTTAGATTGCACGGATGCTGGTGCTGGTCTGGGCCGACGGGATGTTCAGTCTCTGAGACTGATTCCCCCCAACAAAAGAACCCATTCTGAAAGACCGGAAATCCCTCCCAGAAGAGCTGTCTTAGGTGGGACCAGGTGCATTGAACCTATTATCGTGACATAGAGTAAATATCATAGAATCATTTGTTGTTACTGTGCTAATGGGACCAGAAATCATTGTATTGTCTATTCGTGACCCCATTTACATTTCCTGTGTCCAATGATGTACAAGCAATTCCAGAATGCTCTGACTCTAGGCTACAATGGCTCATCTAGGGCAAGTCACTGAGGAGGGTTAAACTGTGCAAAAGGGATACTATCCCCAGCCAGTTGCTTTTAAAAGGCCCAAAAATCAAACCATATGGTCCTATATATGCCAGTAGAATCTAATGGCGTCCAGTGAAAGTATATTCAAACCTACAGGTGAATCTGAGCCCGAAGGGCCTGAAAGGCCACAGGAAGTATTTCATGCAGGCAACGAACCTAAACCAATGTTCGTCACAAGTCTCATGCACCTCCGAACATGCGAACTTAAGTGTGACAAGGTCACACTCAACATGGCACGAACCTAGCTTCACAACTCTACAGTATCATGGATGTCCGGACGCGTAATCAGGCCTTGGAGGCTTCGTAGAGTAGTTTTGTCTGGATGATAGCCTGACCTCCGAGCTCCAAGGCCCCAAGGCCGGATTTTTGTCCGGATGGTAATCTACCCTCTATAGGGATTATCAGAAGTCCTATGCTAGCACGGATTTTCTGTCTTGCAAATGTATGGAAAGTCACTAGGTATACAGCCCTAAATACACGAAGTCTATCGTTTGCGATTAGTTGAAACAGAAACCATGGAACCTCATGGTTTCCCAAAGCGAACGATCCAGGTCTCGGGACATGCCTTCGTCCCTGGAAGTAATCTCATTTTCTGAAATTCCTCATCTTTCTCAAGCCCTTTGAATAATGTCGTGTCCCCAAGCCAATCAATCCGCTTCATCCGCTTGTCTTTATCTTTCTCCTCTCTCAATTTTGCAGCTTTCTCGATCGCTTCTTTCCGCGACTTCTCGACTATTGCAAGGCCCCACTCAGAGTCGGCGATCGGTTCTTGCAAAGCGGAGTAGATAGCATCCCAGACCATACCACATGTGACAATCGAGTTTGCAGGCGTTTTTATGTCTATGGTCCAGGGAAAAGCTTTTGAAATGATACGGAAGGCTGATGATGGCTTTATGAGAGCAGGGGCGTGATAGACGTCAGAGTACGTGTTCGACAGAATGCCTTCGTTGGTTGGTTTCCGGATGTCATATCGCACCAGAGTCAGGTCGGAAGCCAAAGCAGGGTGAAGATTGGGATATTTTCCGGTCCGCGCGTGGCCACCTGTAAATTGCACTCTAGAAAAAGATCATTTGATTCAATCAAATAGTGCCACTCACCGAATGGTCTCCAGCCTGTATGTTGAGGCCCTTGGTGGTAAACATTGTGGCCATAATAATTGGGAGGAAGGTATACGTGAGGATTATGTGGGGTGTACCACCCGTTTTGCCAACCGCGTGGATCCATTGCACAGTTCGAAAAGGGGGATCGATGTGATTGATTCGAGAATGGCGAGAGTAGAGATTAAATATGCGGGGAGGCACTGCAGGGTGCAAAGTGCAGATCAAGATGTGTAACCTCGTTTGGAGTGCTGTCTCTTCAGCAGGCTCTCAGGCTCCCGCTACCATAACACTCTGGGAAGAAGGCAGAGCGCTCGTCTATAAGTATGACTATCGCAACCGTGGCTGATCATGCATCGATTATGTATGACAGTTCCATGACTGATGTTTCGTCACCTTGGCGTTAGTATGGCTGTACTACCAAATGGTACCGGGGCTGTCCTATGTGGCAAAATTCACGTGACAGGGGCAGCATTTTCGAATCCAAGCATCGAGTTATGAAGCTACAGCTATCAAGAGGAGACTAGTCGACTTGTCGTGGACGATGATGCATAGCTGCGAGTCCTGAAAGGCGCGTACGAGACATCGATGCACTCAAAATAGATACAACATCAACTCGATCTGAACGGAAATCGTATGATATCGACTGTCGTATCAGCAATTTGGTTTGAATGGGGAGACTACAGATACCGTAAGGCGACAACCCACCATGTCAACACTGGGCAACCGGATCATAATATTAGTCACTCGAAGGATGAAGCATGTCCTTTGGCAAAGAAAGTGAAGGACTTAGCGTTAATGAAGCCAAATATAAAAATTTCTTCACATCTCACCGAGTTTGGCAATACAAAAGCAAAAACATTCAAGTTGTTGAACATTTGATGAAAACACCGCATGCCAGCCTGAGCCAACCTTTAACGCTTCAACAACTGAGCGCTGAGCAGAATCGGAGATAGGTTAGAAGGGGGCACAAGCCGGAAATAGCTCAGCTAAAATTGATTTCGTCGGACAGCATCAAATGTCGCACAGGCTCGAGGAATACAAAGTAGAAGGATCTCCTAGTTTGAGTTTGAAGGCGTAAACATGAGAAAAGGGAACACCGCATCAGTGGCTCACTACTTTTGATTCTGAGTTTGAGGACCAAGTGGCAGCGTCGAAACATTCATAGGTTATAGTGATTTTTAGAATCACGAAAATGGTGCTGACCATGAAATCAGAAAAAGTTATTAAGTGAATAACTCACCTAAGATCGAACGGAAATATCATAGCTGCGAAAACATTCCAGGCCTCAAGATGTCTAAAAGGTAAAACAGAGTGCTCAATTAAGCTTCCACTTATTTTTGACCTTTTGCCACGATTTTGACCGCACGGCCTTCAACTTGGTGGCTGGATAGGATGTATTTATTGAACATCGCCATACGATCTTGTAGCTTCACCGTGATCTCCGAACTTCAAGATTCCAGATATCAAGTTTCCACAGCAATGTATATGTCACGAAAGTCTTCAATATTACGGTGACATGTCGAGGTCATGTGAGAGAGTACGGTACTTGTTGGCGTGCGAAGTCGATCACTCGTCCATAGCATCTTGAGACAAAACCTTCGCGGATAAGCTTGTTAGTATCGTGCATCGTTCTCCTGCTGTGGACTCACCAGCTGCGACCCACTTGGTTTTTGTGATCCCCTTGGAGAAAGAAAATCAGGGATTGGTAATTGGCTCGGCTGTATGACTGAAGCACCCGATATGACGCTTATGTAACTCTACAAAAATCGGAGCATTTCTGGCCAGGCGAAGGCTCAGACTGCAGCTCATTTTTTTATTCCCTTACTTTCAACCATTACCATGTCGTTTTCAGCTTTGCGCGCTCCAGTTCGCAGGACCGCTTTTTCTGCGTCCTTCCGCAGGTCTGAATTGCGGTCCTCTTCGTTCCGCAAATTCTCGACCCCTCCTCCAGCAGCCAAGTCAAATGCCGCTCTTTACGCTGGGCTGGGTGTCGCTGCATTCGGTGGTATCGCTTTCTATCTGTACACATCCTCATCCGACACTTCCAAGGAAGCTGCCACCGCACTCAAATCTGGTGCTCAGGCCGCTAAAGTTGCCGCTAACTTCACTCCAACAAAGGAGGATTATCAGAAGGCATGCCCTCTCCTTTGCATTCAGCATCACATCTAACTTTCTCGTTTATTCAGGTATATAACCGCATCGCTGAAATTATCGACGAAGCAGGAGAATACGACGGTGTGCTAATTAGCATTGGTGTTATCTCGAGCACGTGTACTGACGCCTTCTTTCCAGATGGTTCTTTTGGTCCCGTAATCCTCCGTCTTGCGTGGCACGCCTCTGGCACGTATGACAAGTCTACGGGCACGGGTGGAAGGTCAGCCTATTAAAGTCCCTTGATTAGCATTTTACTAACGTTGTTCTAATTTAGTAACTATGCGACCATGCGATTCGAACCCGAGTCTCTCCATGGCGCGAACGCTGGCCTCTCCGTAGCCCGGGGCCTCATGGAGAAAGTTAAACAGGAGTTCTCTTGGATTAGCTACGGTGATCTCTGGACTCTCGGCGGTGTTGCGGCTGTTCAGGTGCCTTTCTGTCCAGATTCTTGACTTGACATGATTCTTACGTCATTTTTCACCGATAGGAAATGGCTGGACCGAAGATTCCATGGAGGGCAGGACGCATTGATGGCTTTGCGGAGCATGCCACCCCGGACGGCAGGCTTCCCGATGCTTCCCAGGGCGCCCCTCACATCCGGGATGTAAGTTAATACTTTTGGACCTTTTCATTGTAATACTGACGCACTTGAACGAAGATTTTCTACCGCATGGGGTAAGTTGTAGTGTTCCAGGCTTTTGCGTGAACTCCAGGTAAACCTATGTTGTGTTTAGCTTCAACGATCAAGAGATAGTTGCTCTTTGTGGCGCTCACGCTCTTGGCCGCTGCCACTCGAATCGGTAATCTGAGCCTGCTTATAAGTGCGCCATTTGACTTAATGTACCATCAGATCTGGTTACGAAGGTCCTTGGACTTTCTCACCCACAACGTTCACTAATGACTTCTACAAGTTGCTATTTGAGGAGAAGTACGTGTGTCGCCTCCAATTGATATTCTGTCTTACATAGACCTTCGCAATCCAGGTGGGTGTGGAAGAAATGGAGTGGACCCAAGCAACTTGAGGACAAAACCACCAAGTCTCTTATGATGCTACCGTGAGTTTTATTCTATTCACCGTGGATTATTATCTACGCTAACCTTACGTAACAGCACGGACTACGTTCTCACCCAGGATAAGAGCTTCAAGAAATATGCCAAAGCCTATGCTGATGACAACGACCTGTTTTTCAAGGAGTACGTTCTTTGCGTCACCTGGCCACTATCGTCTTCACTGACCCACCCCAACAGCTTCTCTGCTGCTTTCGCAACCCTCATGGAGCTCGGAGTGCCAACTCAGCAATTTGTCTCTTCTGAGCCCTGGACTCTGAAGACTCTCGACGAGCAGAAAGCGTGATTACTTCTTAGAGTCAAGTGTGGGTATATAGAGTAGACTACCGCTACCATTTCGCTACCGTGATCTAGATATATAATTACGATGTAGTGCATAGAATGCTACTGTCTTGTTGGAAATCTTGACATACATTTTTACTTCAGTACTTCATTTTGCATCAATCATTGCAATTTCGGAGACGTATTCTAGAGTTTTACAGTGAGTTTGCAGGATGTAGAAGATCGCTGAGCGCCAAAGAGCTTACGTAGCCATGATCTGGGCCGGAAAAGGTAATGACCCCAAGTCGCTTATGGTTGGTGACGGTGTTGTAGGCGTTTGCACTCGCACTTGAACGAATCTCTCAGTAATTGGCCTGCAGGATCTACTGGCTCGCCCACTATTCTGTCTACCTGGGGATTTGATTGTACAGCTCGCTCATGTCTTCAAGTATCAACACTCCAGTTCCAACGACGCTCGCATATAACATCGCGGGATGCTCAGAACATAGCGGACGATATGTTGCGGAGAACATAATGGTAGATACTCCTTATGACCAGACTAGCCGGTGGAGTGGAGCACATCAGGAGCCAAATATGAAGCAATGGATGCTCCTACGCTTGGATAACCTGAGCGTCGTCAGTGAGTAAATCTATAGTGGCTTAAAGAGGGTTGATGTTCATTCTTCTGCATCTTAGAAAGCATCACTTTCGGAAAGGTTCGTCGTGTGTTCTGCTCTTGCTAATCCTGATGTCCTCACTCTAATCCACCCCCTCAGTTCCACAAAAGTATGCGCGCTAGCCAGTTCAGTCTATCTCCATCTTCATGCCACTCACATTTCTATGGGACATATAGCACACCCTTGTAATATGAAAGAATTCAAGCTTTATGTTGGGTTGCATCAAGATCATATGACAGAAGTTCTCCATTGTGGCCTCAAGAATGACACTGTTGCAGAGACCTTTGCGGTAAGGCATGTCAATAATATGGGCATATGTTTTCCTACCCGCTTTATCAAAATCGTGCCATTATCGTAAGACCTTCTTTTCCCCCATGTTTCGCATATCAACAATTAAATATGATATACCTGTATAGCGCCCATGGGCAAAGCTTCCATACTTCCATCTGGTTTGTTTCCTTGCTGGGTATCGCAGACCCTTCGTATGTAGAGCAAATCTGTGCAAGATATGACGACGTAAGCATATCCTCTGATGCTCGCGGTTCTCACTAATAACTATGTCTTCATGTAGTATCGTGAATCGATTGTTCTCCGTCATGTCCTGAAGCATCTCCGCCAACGTCGCCTTTTAACGCCCTATCATTCAATTTTATCGAGCTCAAATTTTGAACCTGAACACCCTTTGGTTACATCTCTCTATTCACATCTCGTTCTCCAAGGAAATTGGAAGGAGTGCGAATCCCTATTTTCTAAAGCTTCGGAGGCTGGACTGTTTACACCGTATATACGAGCATGCGAGCCCCATGCGAAGTGGACGAGACTCTATGGCGTAGACGCCGATGGCGATGCACCGTCAAAGCGAGGTGGGCACGCCATGTGCCTTGATCCTGACAACAACATGATATACCTATTCGGTGGATGGGATGGTCAGAAAAGTCTGGACGACTTTTGGGTGTACGACATCAAGAATGAAAGGTGGAAACAACTAAGCCATAGTACATCCCTGGAGAAAAACGGTCCTGTGGCAAGATCATGTCACAAAATGGTGTATGACACTAAGTCAGGTTGTATTTATCTATTGGGAAGACTTGGCGATGGGGATCTGGTACGACAAGATGATGAAACTGCGGCTGCTTCACAAACGCAGAACGGTGAGACGTCTGGTGGTTCTGCCGAAAGTGTGCCATCCGCTCCCACCCCATATTGTTCCGAGTTCTATCGCTATCACACTCGAGGACTCGATGCAGGGAAGTGGGATTTGTTGACTTTTGACACGGCCGTAAGTGTTTCTATTCTATAGATTCATAAAGTGATGTCACAGAGGTGATTCGCAGTCAGCAGGTGGTCCGCCACTCATCTTTGATCATCAAATGGTTATGGATTGTGATGCCCAAATACTTTATGTCTTCGGGGGTCGTGTAGTTGATGGGCATTGGGATTCGCCAAAGTACTCGGGTTTATACAGCTACAATGTACGAACCAGCAAATGGAAATTACTTCAGTCAGTACTTTTGCATTTCTGTCCAAGGATTATCCATATACGAACGTACATCTTACAGGCCTCTTAACGCATCATGCTCTCCTACCTCGCAAACTTCGATACTACCGCGCTTTGGTGAGTGTCAAATACTCTTAGACACACGCTGTTGTTTATTCATGCGTCTTTTGTCATTTTTCAGGTCACTCCATGGTTCTTGACTCTTCCTCCCATGTTCTTTTTATTTTTGCAGGCCAAAGGGACAATAAATATCTTTCCGATATGTACGCATACGACATCACTTCCAATGTAGTCACGGAGCTCTTTGGTAACTTCAGCACAAGCGGAGGGCCAGACGCGTGCTTCACCCAACGAGCAGTTATCGATGCCGGTGATAAGGAGATATATGTGTAAGCTTCGTGAATGACTTGATGTCCCACCCGATGTACTAATGAAAGTATAGGTTTTGTGGTTTGACAAGGGCACATCAGTCTTCAGCACTTACTGTACTCCAATTAGACGCTCCCAACTGGGTGTATCGATACGAAAATGCCGCACGTCCCGGAAAGTGGACGCAGATCCTTCCGGAGGTCTTGAGAGATGGTGAAGAAGGACTGGCTCAAGAACCGCTACCCCGGTATGCACATCAAGTAGTGTATGATGACAGTACGAGAACTGTATTTATGCATGGTGGAAATGCCGGAGAGGCAGAGGGAGCAGATTCAGGTGAAAATGTGGCGGAAACACACGAGGATGATGACGAACTGAAGAGTGACCATACTGGTGAACGAGATAGGCCTCTAACTAAGGAAACGAGACTGGACGATTTCTGGAGTATGACTTTGCAAAGGTATGAATGCTCGGTGATCTTAATGACAGATACTAACTAAGCATATTAATTTAGAATTTCCAGCAAAGAAGTAGTTAGGCGAGGAATCTACCAGATTCGAAAGCAACAGTGAGTAGTGTTAGTTGAATTTGATCCTTTTTTTTTTGATCGAGCAATGTGCAGATTTCGCGAAATGTGCGAGGAACAACCTGCTGTGAAGGCTCTCAGGTTCTTGCAGACAGAAGTATCTGCAGTCGTAGATCACAAATCTCCAAAGGAGGCATCCGTTTTCCGATCATTACTAGCACACCTGCTCTCCCCATCCGTCCCTTTGGCCAATCCGTCTGAGAAGGATTCTTCATCTCATATCACCGTGGACGAATCTAGTGATGCAGAGGCACCACCTAAGAAACGTTCGCGTCCGAATACACCTGATGAAGCTTGGACGAACCAGCTAGATGAGGATGATATAAGTACGGGAGGCGCTACATCATCTGACTCCACTGGGCGTCCGTCGTCTCCGGCGAAGCAGACTCGTGCAGTATTGTGTTTTGACGAAGATCCTGATGAGATCAGCAGACGTGCGGACACCTCGAAGCCACTTCTAGCAGAACGTTTCAAGCAGCGAACAGAAACTTTTGAGGGTCTACTGGAGCTCATAGGAGATGACGCTAAGCAGCCGGATGGGAGTTTGTTGGATCTGGTGGATGTTGACAATGGTTTGTAAAATCTGGTAAAAGAATGTGTTTCGCGTGATACTGTAGTCCAGGCGATTACTTGAACCACAGAACAGGGAGGATTGCATATGCGGGTCTGATCCGCACTAGATACTTGTTACTCAAATATGGCATAGGCTAGACATTTCATGTGTAGAAATATTGTGAATTTGTATTGTATTGTTGTTTATGTCACAGATCATAGTCGTGAACAGATAGTATCGGCAGAAGAATTCATCTACTCGTCCAGATTAATAGCACGGCCGAACTTGGCATAAAGGACTACTTTGAGCTCTTTCATACCCTTCTCACACTCGTCCGCAGCCTCTGATTGAACAGCGAGTGAAGCTGCAAGGTCTTCTTGGTCTTGTTCCAACCGCTCGAGTGCACGTGGCTGAGAAAGATGAAGAAAGGATTCGCCGACTTTGTACCTACCATCAAATGTTAGCAAGTTTATCAGAGTTGATGGAAGTTATACAACACGTACAACACGGTTTGATCTTCATCAGTTAGCTCGAGCTCGGTAGAGAGGTCATCTAGAGCCTCTTTTTCTTGCTGCATTGCGGTGTTATAACTGGTATACAGAAGTCTGAACGTTTACGTACTTTCAACTCCTCTAACTTTAGCTCAATATTTCGTAGACGAGTGTTGAGTTTTGAGAACGAGTTTATGCGCTGCTGATCCTCTGATTTATGAACAATCATAAGCAATCTTTCTAGCACCCTCGTCTGGCACTCACCCCATGTAACCTCGGCAGTGTCTTCATTCTCCTCCTCTTCAGCAAGCTACAAATCGCATCGCTCAGTCAGTACCATTGTCTAGCTTGTGCGATACTCACCATTCGCATGCTGTTCATGATCAAACACCACTGATAATTGTAAACCTAACCCTATAGATCACGTATGTCGTGTCTTGATTTTACTCCCGGCTCAATGCCGAATGGGTGCTGCGTGCCGCCCGAGCTGTACTAATAGAGCATCGCCGAGATGGTCCTCGCAGCACAAAGTTGAAAGTGAACCGTCATGGCATCAGGACCCGCTGCACAAGCAATCAAGCGCTGGATATCAGCCCAGTCGCTATACTATGAAAGCGCAAAGACCGCCCTGCTTTTCTATGTTCTACTCATACAGTACCTCAGGGCTTACCGTCATGTGCGAGCAAGGGGCCCCACACAGACTATTAGCGAATTTTGGCAATGGATATCAAAGGCACGCGTTTTTATTATCACTAAAAAGTAATGAGACTGAATGTTGAGTAGAAAGTGATCTTAATGGCTCTACGCCTTCCTTCTGCTCAAAAGAAAGTGCAGACGGAAATGGACAAGGCAAGGCTTGACATCGAGGATAAACTGGTTCCAAAAGGCGCCGAAATCTCGCGGCACCTGGCCCTCCCTGCTGAAGGTAAACCGCCGCAGTGGATTCTGGATGAAATGACCAAGATGGACGTCGAATTGGGTTCGCATGCTGATTGGAGGCATGGGAAACTTTCAGGAGCTGTCTATCGTATGTTATCCTCGTATCTTCACCTTGCTAACAAACGCACTTACGGTTCATTTAATCCTAGACGGTGGTGATGATCTTCAGAAAGTGGTTGTTTCTGCCTTTGAACGATATTCAGTTTCGAATCCTCTTCATCCTGATGTTTTCCCAGCAATTCGGAAGATGGAAGCTGAGATCGTGGCCATGTGTTTGAGGATGTATAACAACCCGGACGGTGCAGGGACTATGACTTCTGGAGGCACCGAGTCCATTGTCATGGCAGTCAAGACGTACAGGGACTGGGCAAAAGCTGTTAAAGGCATAACGGAACCTGAAATGTATGCAGTTTACTTACATTTTATTGCCAGGGTTTTTCTCATGATCATCTCTCTCAAACTCAAGGATTATACCAGCATCCGCGCATGCTGCATTTGACAAAGGGGCCATGTACATGAAGATTAAGGTTCATAGTATACCTCTGGATCCTATCTCGCGCAAAGTCGACCTTAAGCGTGTGCGAAGAGCTATGTGAGTAAAGCACCCGCCTCCTTCTATTCTACTTTTGAACTGTCTGGTGTAGAAATCCCAACACCATCTTGGTTAGTTTTGTCCCGTTCATAAGGATATACCCGTCCTGACACACTTCTTCCTGTGCACCAGCTCGTAGGTTCCGCGGTTAATTTTCCCGACGGCAATCAAGACGATATTGTTGCTTTGGGTGCTTTGGCATCGTCCCACAACATCGGACTTCATGTCGATTGTTGCCTAGGCAGCTTCATCGTCCCTTTCTTGGAGAAAGCTGGTTTGTCTGGCGGTGAAAATGGTGGAACCAAGTACAAACTACAGCCATTCGACTTCAGAGTTCGTGGGGTTACAAGTATAAGTTGCGATACACACAAGGTAATGCCACGTATAAAGTTTGGAAATTTCATTGACATGACTCTAATCTATGTCTTCTCACGTTTAACAGTATGGCTTCGCACCCAAGGTAGGTCTTCGCGGTTCCTATCTTCCTCGTAAACGATTTCCCCACCTGATTCCGCTCCACCCCATGTATAGGGGTCTTCTGTGATTATGTACCGCAATTCAAACTTGCGAAAGTACCAGTACTACATTAATCCGACATGGACAGGTTTGTTCACCACATGGGTTACGATCAAACGTGCGCTGATATCTTTGTTTTGCTTCTGCTTCGCATGGAAAATAGGAGGTGCTTATGCCAGCCCCAGCTTATCAGGATCACGGTTAGCATTGTTCTTCTGTAGCTCACCGCAACGACGAAAATGCTGATTTTACAAACATGTTGTGCCATTGTAAATACGGCTATACATTATCAACTACAGTCCGGGCGCTCTGATTGCTGGAACTTGGGCAGCTATGCAGTACATGGGATCAAAGTACGTGACTGTATTTTTCAACTTGATTATCCTTGGCCCTCGATCAATTTTATGATCTCGGATCTTGATCTCTCGGAGAATCTTTATCATTCACCAGCGTTGACACTAACCGCATTTTGCAGTGGTTATCTGGAATCTTGTCGTGAGATTGTTGGCGCTGCACGGACTATCGCAAATACCATTACGGCATCAATCCCAGAGCTATATGTCCTCGGTTCTCCCCCGGCGTCCGTTGTTGCATTTGCTTCACAGGATCCAAAAGTCAATGTGCTGGAAGTGGGTGACGCCATGTCAAAGAGAGGATGGCATTTGAACGGTATCAGCAGTCCCGCGGCGGTACACATCGCATGCACGGTGAGTGATTTGTGCCCTCGTGTATTCCAGACGGAAATTAACATGTCGTATGGTATGATTGCTTATCCGTTACCTACCATATTGTGCTGTATAGCGCTTGACTGTTCCTTTGGTTGATACGTTCATAGCGGACCTCAAGGATTCTGTACAGGAAGCGAAAACGGCACCATCCGGCAAAGGTACCATGGTGGCTCTGTATGGTGTGTTTTCCCTTCCACTTCCCCCCCTCCCCTTCCTTTGTTCCGTCCTTCTTCCTTCCTCCTGAGACGATGCGTTCAAACGTCGTTATTTTTTGCTTGACATTTAATTTCCCGCATGGCTTCCGCGGATACGTCACTTGAGTCAAAAATACACTCAGCATTCGATGCAGCTGAGGATCAATACAATCACGGGCTCATTTATATCTCGAATCACTTTTTTTCTTTTCTTTATTTTGATTTTCGTCGCATTTTTCTATGTATCCGCACCCTCCCATCCTTGTACCCTTTTTTCTCATTGTGAGTTTCAGGTCTTGGAAAATCGAGCGCAGTGGGCCCATCCATGGTGGGCGAACTGGCAACTGCGTTTTTGGATACATTGTACAAGGCGTAGAAGTCAACGGTGGTTTTATCTTGGTCTGCAGTCCCAGCAGAGTGGAGCGCCATCCGTATGTACATGTCATCTCGCTGGCTTCTCCTGAGAACTGGAAATTTCCGCGCGCAAGGGTAGCAATTTTGTTGTCTTCTCTGGTTATATATATACATACACATATTTGGGTTTGTAAAATGGGATGCATCATGCAGACAGATCAACGATAATCATCATGATGCATTTTTTTTACCGAAACACTGTGTGTGCGGCGTCACGTCAGAGCTGTGGGTTGGGTTCTTGATGGACCCCAACATGTGAGAGGGAGCGTCAATGACCGTGCAGATAGATGTTCGATGTTTCTACTGTGTTCTGATGATGATGATGGTACTAACCGTCATTGAGAACCTGGTGCTGTGCGATGGCGGCCGAGCGTTTCTGAGAGCTAGTCTATGAATGGGGGCGGTGGCCACACAGGTGGTTTAATTATAAGCAGAGATGGGCGCGATGTCAGGGGCCAGCGTTCAGGTCGGTCAAATATCAGGGTCCAGGCCCCGAAGGAAGAGATTGAGTAAGCAAGATCCAGGTCTCACTCAATGGACGAGTTTATTCGTTAATGGAAACGTTTTTTTTTTTTTTTGAGCTTTTAAATGAGTATAGGACGTTTGAATAACTGGAAGAGCGTCCCCAGGCCCATCTATAGCCTATTCTCCCCCCCTTTCCCCCCTGCTCCTGCCCGACAACAGAACCGGTCGTCCGCAGGCAGGCCCATTCCAGCGATGTGCATGTGCTGACGAAAGCGAAAAGAAAAGAAGAAAGAAAGAGACAAAGTGAAAACGTGAACTGGTCCGAGGCGATGGTGGAGAGATTACTATAAATAGCTAAAATGATGCGAGTGTCTGGATGCAGATGCGGCGATGATCCACAGGAAAGGAAAGGAAAGGGTGAGTGTGTGAGTGAGACCACGTTTCTGGAAAAACCGGAAAGAAAATGAATATGGAAAAACGCACGCACAGAGTATAATATTACGCCCCCCTTCGCGAGTGTGAACTTGACTTTCAACCGATCGTGTGCTTCATCCGAGTAGTTCGGAGCTACCTTGGCACCTCAGCACCTTTTTGTTTGATTTGGTTTCTACTTGGAGGTTGGGTTTGTCGAGAGATTGAGAGTGGGGGTGGGCTTGGCCGTGTTGGGTGCGATAATGGAAGGGGATGTCGCAAGGGGCGTAGTCGAGAGGCGGGACAATGGAGCCTATATGCGCTACTGTACCACGCTTTCGAGATTGCTTTTTGCCTTTTTTTTCTTTCGCTGTTTCTGATTTTGTGAAGCATGTGTTTCTGGCGTCCTTCTTTCGTCGATATGGTAGCCAGTGCGGTAAGTGCGGATAGATAACGGAGGGGGGTTTGTTGGTAGTAGATAGTAGATAGATGAGGGCATTCGAACGTCACCCGTAGTCGATCGATCACAAAGAGCTGAAGAGCCCGAGATGGTGGTGGCGCTGCGCGTGTGTGTATACCATTATAGGCTACGGATGGAACTTAGTGACTGAACAAGGATCGTGAGACTCGCGGGAGAACTCGAAGTGTGGCGTTTCGTTTCCAGAGAGCGAATGGTATTTGCAATGAAAGTCAGATCTCGTACGTAATTGCATTTTGACGGTGACGTAAGAGGGGACAAGGTGGATTGGATTATGTCACAGCTGTGACTGCTGTGTCGATGAGACGGAGGAGCATCTTGGGTCAGACCTAGACTTTTGACTCAATGTCTGTCCATTTCCGAGCCTGTGCGTGTCATCGCTTTAGCCTATTGTTGTCTCAATTCTGATTAGGGAGTGCCGCTGTATACCATTACTGACTCGCTCGCAAGCACGTTCCTGCACCTCTTGAGCCATCTTCATACACTCAATTAGAAATAAGTCGCCGCCATCACGGAAATAAAACAAAATAATAACGACAACGTGTGTGGTGTAAAAAGGCACCTCGGATCCCAGGGAGCGGAGGCATCGCCATATTGACAAACTAGCATTTGCAGATTCAGACTGTCTTGGTGATCGAACGTTCAAAAACCGGATTTTTTTATGTGGCTGAATGCGGTTATGTGAGATAAGGAAGGCGAGGTAAAATAGATCTTGGGCTCGTATAGCCTCATCTTATCATGAAGATGGAGACTTGAGGGTTCTGGAAGAAATCGATCAGGGGCGCTTTTTGTATTGTTTGATGGCGATAACGGAGAAAGGTGAGAGGTAGGTGGCGTCCTTGAAAGCCTCAGTGCAATGATGGTGATGGTGAAAGCGGTGAGGGTCAGCCCTGAAGGACAACGGAGGAGCGGAGCCGAGGGGAAATAAATGGATATAGATAATGTAGCGATCGATGAGTGTCGGATGTTCTCAGGAGATAACGTTGCCTGCGTCACGATCAGCATGCACGATAGAATAAGGTAATATAATGGACGAGCAACGGGCAAAGGAAATGGAAGAAATTCGCCTGTAAAAAGCTATTCCGGTAAACAAGCAAAAGGTTTGACGGGAAAAGCAAGTGGAAACGGGGTGCAAGGTGTCGGTGTTCGCAACTTCCATTTTTGAGCGACTGCACCCTGCTACAATGAGACGAGACATGACCTGTGCGATTGTGCAGAATGCTAAAGTTGTGCAGCGTGTGATTAGCTGATGCTTTGTGATTAGGATTTTTGAAATCGGACGAGTTTTTGGGATTGAGGCGTGGGGAGGGCTGTCGGATATGAGACAGCTGGCATGTTTGGCAATCGGTAGCTGCTGGATTCCCTTGGAAGGATACAGGGACCGCGTGGAAAAGGGAGTCAAATATAGAGAGGAGTCGGAGTCGAGAGGGAACGGTTGCGGAAAGGGTCGAGACAATGCTCGCCACCTGTGATAAGGTGGATGGATCGGGAGTAATAGAGGATGGCATTGGTGAGCTGGAAAAGCGTTTCGCCAACGAAAAGGGACAAAAGAGGGCAAAAGCCGGAGGAGAGCGAAATTGAATTTTTCAAGGCAGTTCCGGGAACGGCTGGAGTGTTCGGCAGGAATTGAACGTTGGTGGTATTGATCCTGGCATCAGAGAGTGCACCGGTTTGAGAAGAGGAAGGGCTTCGTAACACGCTGAGAGACCGGGTGAGGGGGAGAATGCGGTAAGTGAGCCGCTGAGGCAGCCGCGGAGAGTGGCCGATGTTATCTTGAGGATGCAATCGGAACGAACAATTGTCGTAAGATGTGAACCGGACCGCGGCGAGGCCATGCTTATTAGTTTAGCGATATCTCGACAGTATGGAAAATAAAGAGGGTGTGGCGGAGGAGGGGCCAGGAGAGGAAGGACACGGGCCGTGGGCAGCCGGGGGACAGAGAGAGGTATGTTTTACCCGCCGGTTCTGTTCGGACGAAAAGAGGTATAAAGAATGTGTTTCTTGCGATATATTCCAACTTTATTGAGAAACAGTTATAGGGCACCTATTCCTGGCTCGCACCACACCACGCTGCAGCCCAGCGAGCATATCGATCCCCGTATGAACCAGTGAGTCAACCTAACATCCCACCCAATCCGTCTCCCTTCCATTCTTCTCCTCCCTTTGTCTTCTCTCCCATCATGGCCTTTCCTCTTACTCGCCCCCCCTCCCCCTCACGCGAACATAATAACTCCGCAGACGTAGACCACCTTTCTACCGCTCTCCATGCTGCCTTGCAGACCTTCTCTTCCGGCCCCTCTTCTCACCCACCCCAAGACCAAGACATGTCCAGGGAGAAAGACACAAAGCCTTACATCGATATCATCGTCAGCTCAAACTGTCTCTCCCTCAAGGGCACAGGCGTAGACGTCGAATCAGCCCTCCTCTCCGGTCACGTCGCCCTCTACCTCACAGAGTCCACCTCCATCAAAGAGATCAATCTCCAGTTCAGAGGGAAAGCCAGACTCCCCGCCCCTCCCAATGAGCCGTACGTACTCTTTGTTCTCCAACAGCTCTACCACCACTCACCTTCATCCCTCGTCCAGCCTTTCACTCAACTCCTCTCATCCAATGTATATCATATGTAACCACGACTGGACCTTTCTCGAGGGCGAAAAACGCCACAGCCACACTCTCAAGGCCGGCCGCCATCTCTTCCCCTTCCAACTCCAGCTAGGTGGCTCCCTTCCCTCTAGCATCTCCACCACTGCCTACGGTGGTGCTTCAGTCATGTACAAACTTCGCGCAGTGGCAGTCCGCCCAGGACTATCCCACAATTTACAAACAGCCATTCCCATCTCTATCATGCGATCCTTCGCTCCAGAGGCACTGGAATACCAACAAACTCTCGAAATCGAAAACACCTGGCCAGAAAAACTCATGTATTCCATCATGATTCCCCACAAAGCTTGGGCAATTGGCGACAAACTAACTGCCATCGTCAAGTTTTCACCCCTTGCCAAAGGGGTTCGCGTACTCACCGTCGTGACCGCCATCAACGAAATCACAAAGTTGTATGGCCGCGCTGCCTCGCAGGAGCATACCCGTAGTGTCGCCACAGCCAAACATGAGATTGTTAATGGAAAGGCGGTGCTGATGATTGAACACCATCATAGAACACGCGTGCCTTTGCTTCATGGACCTTACGGATCGGTCTCGTACACCTATTCATCTTCTACGCCTGCCACCCCTGGTCTCTCAAATGAGCATCGTACACTCAGTTCTGGCTCGTTGACTGGTTTGGCCCAAGATTCTTCCCCTAGCGGAAGAACATCAACCTCGAGTGATGGTGGAGTCGGAGCTTTTTCAATGTCGGCAATGACAGGCTCAGCCACCGCTTCATCGTCGAGTAGTGAGTCCAACTCCCAAGAGGAGCAGGACTCAAACGAGGATGTCGTCACTTCCATCAGCCTCACCGTCCCCCACTCTGCCACGCCTACCCACACTCAAGAACCCATCATCGTCTCTCACCGCGTCCGCTGGAGCATTCTCATCAGCAACCTTGACGGCCACACTTCCGAGCTTCGATGTTCCCTCCCCCTCCACATTCTAGATCACCGCCTTCTAGACTCCGCTCGCTCCAATACTGCAGCCACTCGCCGCATCGTGCTTGGAATATCGGAGGTCCCTGAGGAAGACTCACACGACATGGAGCTTCCGAGCTATCCTGCGCATATCCGCGATCGCGTTGCGAACATGTACCTTCCTGATGCTGCCACCATGCGCGTGTCCAATCCCTGGGTTCACAGCGGGCTTAGTCCGACGCACGTGAGCGAGATGCAGCCCTTCACGGGGATGTGGACGCCCTCGGGCGCCTCGTCGCCGCTGCAGGCCCACCCCTTGTCGTCGCAGCTCCCGCACGTGCCCACGTCGGGGATGAGCACGCCTCTGGACTGGGTGAACTCGGAGCTGTTGCTCTCCTTGTCGAACGAGGCGCCTACGCCCCACCCAGAGCCGAATGGCCACTCGCCGGTGCATTCGGATCCCACGAGCCAGCCCCCCAGCACGCCCATCTCCCGACGCCCAAGCCGGCTGCCCAGTCGCGCTCCCAGCCCCGAACGGCATCACCACCACCCCAGCGCCGCATCGCCCACCATCGGCATCGGCGGCGGCGCGCCCCAGACCTTCATCCACGGCGGAAGCCAAGCGAGCAGGAACTTGCCGGGCCTGTTCACCAACGCGATGAAACCCTTCTCGTCCTCGCTCACCTCGCCCGGCTGGCTCTCCTCCCGCTCCTCTTCGCTGTCCAACATCGCCGGGCTCACCTCGAGCAACAACTCGGACCACGCGCACAGCTACTACCGCCGGCCCCCAGCGCCGCTGACGCCTCCAGCCGACGCGGGGGCAGGGGCGCCGACGTCGGACGCGCTGATGTGGCATCGCGCGTTTACGGAGGTGCCGGATTATGGGATTGCGTCGAGGGGGTTTATTGGGGGTGTACCGCCGTTGACGAGTATGAGGGGCTTGCCGTCGTATGAGGAGGCGTCGTTGAGGGAGGCGGAGGGGACATCGCCGTCGGGCCAGCTCTCCATCAATTTGCGCCGGCCGAGCCCGCGTCAGGCGGCGGGGTCGCGGTGAGGTGAGCGGGTTGGTTGGTTGGCGGAATGCGTTCGCTGCCCTGCATGATCTTCTCGTCTCTGTTATCTTTTTTTCCTTCTTTTTCTTCAAGGTCCTGTTGTATGAGTATGGCACGGGCATCATCGATTTTCTCCCTCCCTCTCCCTCTCTCTTTTTCTTTCTCTCTCTATTTTTTATTATTAACCTCATCATCCATAGACTGTTTTGGGCACCCATAGAGAATTGTAACGATTGACTTATAGACGGACTATTTATTTTTTCAAGCTTTCTCATCCCAGCTCTGCATCATTCAAAGAATCGGTTGTAGGATTATTACTCCCCCCCCCTTCCTGTTGGCGCTTATAGTTATCATTTTTGTATATGTATAGTGGCGAGTATGAGATGGGGTGTATAATAGCGAGAAAATGAGGAACGGTATTGGCAGGCACTTTTGAATTTCAGCGTGTTGGGAGTTTTGAAGATAAATCCAGTAATCAAGACACCATGAGGTCGCAACGTCATGTACGAGAGCGAAAGTAAGCCATGCGCATGAAGAAAGAGCAGCCACAACAGACTTGCAATGTGCGGTACTATGGATGCAAAGAGTGAGTCAAGGTCATGCAGTCACATGATTCAAACCATAGACGGAATCATCCGAAAGTGTGAGAGAGGCCATGTACTTTCACATTCAAAGTTCTGTCTTAGTGCGAGATGAATACAATGATGTTGCTCGAGTTGAAAGACTGGTTAATGATCCGGAACATGCCTTGAAAAAGAGTGCATTGAGTGAGCTGTGTCCAGGATACTAAGAGTCAAGTAACAGTGAAACAATGTGTGAGGCATAGCTCAGACCTGCTCTGTAGGAGTATGAGTATGACTTACTGGACCATGTCTCCAAAGAAGGTGTGTTCATACACACAAACAAGACTATCACAGCCATGGGTATGGCAGACTTATTTAAAGATCTTATATCATCTGTCTATGGATTACCAGAGATAGTCCTTTCTGATGGGGGGACCTTGGTTTGCTAGCAAATTTACAAAAGAACTATGTGTTACGATAACACAATTTTCGGACCTTTCCTTCATTTTCATTCTCCGCTTTGACCTTGTATACTTTAGCTTTCACACATGGTGCCACACGGCACTTCCCCTTTTGTTCAAACTCCTCTTTCTCACGCCGCGTTGCCTTCTTCTTATTTTAGATACAACTCTCTCACACAGTGGAGCTGGTCATGCGGGCTAGGCCCCATGACATCATCAGCCACTGACTTTATCAACTGTACAGTACATAAGTACAAACACTCTGTATTAGTATATATACCCCAATAGATCCAGGAGACTCCTCAGCGAGTCCTCCTGTTGTATACCAACAAACTCTCTGCATCTTGAGGGGTAACCACTCCCTCTTCATTTCCTCTATAGTGTGTTCCTGTGTGCGCCGGAGTAACTAACTCTTGGTTGTTACACCAATAGACCAAGGAGACTCCTCAGCGAGTCCTCCTGTTGTTAACCAACAAACTCTCTGCAGCCTAAGGGGTAACCACTCCCTCATCATCTTCCTTATAGTGTGTTTCTGTGTGCGCCAGAGTAACTAACTCTTGGTTGTTACAATAGCGCCTTGCGCGTTTTGTCCAAGACAGACTTCATGTCTTTGGCCATGTTCCCAGCAGCCTCGTTCTTGCTTTTACCAGGTTCTACACCCATTCTGGGGAGGTACGATCTAGTAACCTCGAATGGTGCCTTTCCTGTAGCCGACGACTGTTTGATATTATAAGAGAACTGGGCTATCTTTAGCCACTTGGCCCAATCCGTCTGCCTGTCATTAATAAATATACGGAGGTATTGCTTCAACTCCTGGTTGAGTCTCTCCGTTTGTCCATCGGTCTGCGGATGGAACACCGTTGATAACTTAGGTTTGATGCCCAGCATCCGGCATAACTCTTTTGTAAATTTGCTAGCAAATTGTGGCCCTCTATCGGAGATAACCATTTCTGGTAACCCATGGATAGACCATACAAAATCTTTAAATAAATCTGCTGTACGAGCGGCAGTAATGGTTTTATTGGTGGGTATGAATACCACTTCTTTGGAGAAGCGATCTACTACCACCATTACTGAATCATACCCATTTGACTCGGGCAGATCTGTTGTGAAATCAACCGATATATCTTGCCAGGGACCAGCTGGTATCGGATTCGGCATAAGTTTACCGGCTGGCGGTTGGTGAGAATTCTTTGCCATGGCACATCTCAGACAGGATTTTACATATTCCTATAGGTCTTTGACCATGCCAAGCCACATATAGTTTCTGGAGATCAACTCCATTGTTCGTTGCCACCCAGGGTGCCCAGCCACTGGAGTGTCATGATGTCTATCTATTGCCTTGATCCTTGCGGACTCAGGCACATAGATTTTGTCTTTAAAATGGAAGAGTCCGTCTTCCCATAAATAGTTTTCATTGCCATCAAGGCGCGCCTTCTTTTCTGAGGAGATGTTTTTCTTGAAGTCTTCCAGAAGATCGGAATCCTGCCCGATTCTAACATTGGCAACCCTTGATTGGTCTATCAGGGTAACACCTTTGTTATCATCTTCGATGCCGTTGGCATGATCCTCTCTTCTGGACAAAGTGTCTGCTTTCCCCACAGAGCTTCCTGGCTTATGAATTAATTTATAATTAAACCTTGACAAGTACACCACATAGCGAGCCTGCCTTTGGTTCAAGTCTCGGGCCGTCATAAAATACTCCAGATTTTTATGATCGGTCCAGATTTCAAATTGGTGCCTAGCACCTTCTAAGTAGTGCTGCCAGTGCTCTAAGGCTCTAATGATATGCTCCATGGAGAACAATGGCTGCTTTGGCAGAGACCGGGTTTATCCGGTTTTGTCACTCCCACTTCAGTGCAACCGTGATCCCATAGCTTTAGAGAATTTCCAGTGTTTTTCGTGAGTGAGGGGTTTAGTGAGAATGTCTGCAACCATATCTCCTGTAGGAACATATCTGATTACTGCCTCTCCCTTTGATACTAAGTCATCTCGGATGAAATGATATTTGCGTTGAATATGTTTTGTGCGAGCACGGAACTGCAGATCTCGTGTAAGAATGATAGCTGCTTGATTGTCACAGTGCAATGTTGTAGATCCATTTTGAGCATGTCCAATTTCTTCAAAAAATGTCTGAAGCCATGCAAGGTGTTGTCCAGCATTGCTCAATCTAATGTACTCTGACTCCGTGGAGGATAAAGCGACCATGCTTTGTCTTTTGCTTGTCCAGGAGGTTGCTCCTCGGATGGTGATAAAGACAAACCCTGATGTTGATTGAGACGTGTCTGGGTCTCCAGACCAATCTGCATCTGAATATCCATAGAAATCCATGTCCATGGAGACATCTGTGCCATCATATCGTAGTTCCATGTCCCTGGTTGCTTTCAGATATTGGAGGACA